AAAGGTAAATATGAGGCTACTGGGATTTGTCTCAGGTGGTAATTTTAGAAACAAAGTGACTTACTATACTTTGATTATGTCTTCTGTGAGGCTGTAATGATGTTTTGAACTTGAAACTCATCTTTGTTTCTGGGGAGGGCTGCAAAGCAAGAGGAGAACAAAAGAGACAGCTTTGCCTTGACTGGTAAGAAGGAAATTTCTGAAAGTTACCACAGCTCTGATTACTCTCTGTGCTTGCCATTTATTGGTGAGTAAAAAGAAAACACAGTATCTTTAGGTTCTTCTAGCTTCTTTCGTAAAGATGTCTGAGGCACAGCTTATGGACAAGTGAAGCTGTCCATACTGGGACAAGATATAATGTGAGTATTCCACAGTTTTCCACTTCCTACAGAAATCCAAAGCAATCTCTTCTGCGCAGCAAGTGTTCCTCTTACCAGTTTGGAAGAAATTAATATACCATACAACTACATTTTTACCTTTAGATACTGGAAAGCAGAGAGCAAGCACAACTGTGTCTTTCTGTAATATTTTGGTGGCAACTCTGTGCACAGGTCAAAGTTCCCATCTTGTGTTTGGATTTATAGCTGATGAATGAGGTAACCCTAAAGAATTGGGATTAGAGATGGATAGCAGATTCAGGGCTTAAATGCTTTACTGGACTGGGACAGTATGTTTCTAAACTGTATAGCAAATAGTTCTTCTTTCCCCTATCCCAGCTCTGGAACCTTCAGACACTTTAATATGAAAATTCTACATGAATTACTAGTGGTTTAAACTATTTTCTTGAAATTAGCTCCCGGTTCCGTCCTCTTTCTGGGTATACTGCAGGGAGCACGCTTTGAGAGCAGTTCAGCTGACCAGCATTTCAAACACCTTCCGAGGTGAGCAGAATCTGCCTGGAGCTAGTTAGTCTTCAGAGGTGCATATGTAAGAGAATCCCTTTTTAAAGTGATCATAAAGTCTGTATTGAGATTTGTCCCTATATACCACTAATAGCAGCAAGTGCCAGAACATGGATTTTTAGAGTCCTTTCAGCATCACGGAAAGCACTTGAAAAGACCTGTAAAAATGTGGTGTTTTCTGATGTAGCTCTTAGTGAGTCTCTGTAACTGCAGCAGAGCAAGATGTTCAGCATTCAGTTTTGTTTACGTACAAACACCTTGACTGTTCTTGAAAATGAGAAAGAGCCTAAGTAGCGTGCTTTTGATTATTTTTGTAATTCTGTGACAAGATGTTACTTGAGATAAACTCCATTAGATCTAATATTCTATGATACCTTATAATAAAACTGTAACTTCTTTCTTCATGGTTTCCAGTTAAGCGTGATTTTGGCTTGTGCATGGGCAAAATGCTGTACCAAACATGTTTTCTAAGGAAAAACATCATACATGTTACCAGGCTTTTTTTACCACCACAAGGAAATAGTCATTCTATCAAAAGATCATTTAGGGTTTATTGTATAGCACTGCAGGTTTGAAAACATATCTTGCTTACATGGAGTTCATGGGGAGCGGACATAAGATTCCCAAACATATTTTATAAATACTTTAGTCATTCCTTTACTCTTGGAGTTAATAAACTGACTGATGTAACATCTAATGCAAGTACTATACAAACCATACTAAATTTAATGAGCCTACAATTAATTAGTTTGCTTGCACTGGCAAAATGCAGCGTGATTGACATGCGGTGTAGTAAGATAACCAACTGTTTTACAGGCCTTAGCAGTCTCGTGTGATCACCTGTCTGAGTATAAATTATGCTTCAGTGCTCTGTGCTTAGTCAAAATAATGTCTTATTAGCTGAGTAAGTGATTTCCAGATTTGTGTGCATAGTTGAAGCCCAAAAACCTCAGGAGCTTCACGCCTTCATCAAGCATCATAAAGATTGCTTTGCTGTTGTAGTATGACCACCCTCATTTCTATACATTAACTTCCATAATGTGACTTGAGAAAATTCAAGTGCTTTCTGTCACCTGCCTGTTCCTGCTGTCACCTAGATTTAAGTCCTCTGGATGTACCAGGCCAGCAAACCATCTTGCTGGTAGATATTTGAAGCGCTAAGTATCGTAGCTGTAATGCTTGATAATATATTTACAAGTTTTTTAAACTTCTTTTTCCTTCCTTACTTCTGTCTACTTGACTGGCTGGCCTTCGTGTTCGCTACATTGCTGTGTCTCAGATTGCCATGTCTCTGTAAACTCCCTTGCAGTGAAGTGTTCTTTACGTATGAAATAGCGAACAATCCAGTTAAATTTCTTGAGGCCAGATTTATGCTAGTCTGGCGTTTGTGGGAGACTGTATTAACCATGCTTCTGTATAGAGTTCTTGAAAATCGTAAAGGGGAAATACTGAACTCTCTATCTCATTCTCATCCAAGTATGCCAGGTCCGCCCAGCCTGCAGCCAAGTGTACAGTTTCTTTCACTCTGCTGACCCCTCAGCCTGCAGACTTGAACCATTGCTGGAGAAGAGATTCCATCTCCTGCCTCCATTCAGCATCCCGCGGTACCAGAGATACCCACTGGGTGATGGAAGATCTCACCAGTTAGGTACGGTGCCTTTTTTCATACTGCTGCTTCTTTCACTGCAAAGAACATATGATACTTCCTCATCTTGTGAGGTGACTAAAAAAGCAGCATTGTATTTTCTTTTCAGTTATCTGTGTTGGAGACTGTATAGTTTGTCTGAGACAAGAGAAGTAGTAAAATAATCCTTCCATTCTTTTCACCTCCATCAAGCTTTCCTGTAATCACACGTAGCTTTTCTTACTGTGTGGCACAGAATCATAGAATGTATCATTTTGTTTTATTTTTATTATTATTATTTTCATTTATATAACCTGCAGGTGATGCTATCCACAACCACAGTGCTCTTTTCCTTGAGAACAGCTCTTTGAACATACCTTTCTCTCAGGAGAGTCCTGGATCTCCAAATGCATCTGATCAACCACAAGGAAAACCAAGAAAGTTGAGTTTGGACAGCACAAACAGTGAAAACTCAGGGTCAACAGAAAGCTTGCCGTCAGCGTACCTCACCAACAGTGAGTGAAGCCTTGTGCCGTGTGCTGTCTGATACGGCAACAACCCTTTCTTCCACATCTTTTCTATGGAAAAGCTTATTATGAAAAGGAAAATAAGCTGCTTGGAAATTTGAGCAGAATGAGAACAGCCTAGGTTGCAGTAATTTTACATAACACAGTGTAGCTTCCTCTTCTGTTTGTAATTAAGTAGATAAAGTAATAGATGTGAAGTCACAGTTTTATATTAAGGTGCCACTCATAAATAGTTAATGAGGGTTTCATACTAACAGGAGTTTAGAAGCATGTTCCAGTAATGAAGAAATATAGATAGGTAAGATTGATTTCCCATAGTTTAAAGTGCTATAAATCATTATATTTTGTCCCATTATAGACTATAGTTTTATGTCGATACTCTTTGGAAGGCATTTGCGCTTCTTACTGTATAACATGATTGTAAAAATCCTGGTCTTTCACTGTACATTTTCCATGGACCAGGAAGCAGAGGAAGTCATGCTGAGGTGATTTCTGTATCCTAAAACCCGATAGAGCTGTTTACATTGCAGACCTTTAAGTGATGATGCAGCCAGTGAAAACTTCCATGTTTGACAGATACCTTTAACAGACTCTAAATGTCAAGGTTAATAAAGCAACTCAAACATAAAAGACAGCAAGAGATATATTAAGGAGATAACTTCTAGAAATGTGGTGTTATTTTGTTTGTGTTTTTTTCTTTTTGCAGTTACTGCGAAGTGGTGGGGAACAAAAAGAATAGATTATGCCTTGTATTGTCCAGATGTACTGACAGCCTTTCCAACCGTGGCCCTACCGCATCTCTTCCATGCCAGCTACTGGGAATCAACAGACGTTGTGGCCTTCATTTTAAGACAGGTCACTGATCTCTTTATTTTTTGTCTCTGCAATAAATAACCTCGTAATTGTTAATTGTGTCTTCCAAGGGTGATCATTCTTTTAGTGTTTAGTTTGGTCAGGTAAGTGTGATTACATCACATGGAACTGGATGTAGGAATGACAGGTGTGGGTTTATGGGAGAGTTGAAGGGGACAGTGAGCGCACCGTTAGCACTGATGGCTGG